GGTGAGGAAATTTGGGAGAGGGTCTAGAGCATCAGTAAAGTTACTGAAGCTCCACCTTATAGATTCCACGAATACGGTGTTACTCATAATTGGACGAAATAGAGTATATTTTGGGAGCTACCTTATTAGAAGGATAATCTTTTCCCTCACAACCTTGATGTCATGCATATTGAGAAGAATTATTTTGATAATTTGTTCAACATGGTGATGGATGTAAAGGTAAGACAAAGGATAACCCGAAAGCTGGAATGGACTTACAAGAATATTGCAGGCGGCCTGAATTATACTTGCAGACAACAAAAAATTGTAATATATTCAAGCCCAAATCAATTTACGCACTCACTTTGGAGGAAAGACGGCAAATTTGTGATTGGGTTACGAAATTGAAGATGCCTGAGGGTTATGCGTCGAATCTTGGAAAAAAAGTTGATATGGAGGTAGGGAAATTGAGCCATTTGAAAAGTCATGACTGTCATGTTTTCATGGAGACCTTAGTGCCTATTGCATTTTGTGGTTTGCCTAAAAGAATCTGGAAACCCATCACAAAGATTAGTTTTTCAAAGACTTGTGTTCTACCACATTAAGGGAAGAAAACCTACTCCAGATGGATCAGAACATTCATGTAACTTCTAGTAAGATGGAAAAGATATTTCCATGTGGTTTTTTTTATGTGATGGAACACCTTCCAATCCACCTTGTACAAGAGGCATGACTTGGAGGGTCTGTTCAATGCAGATGGATGTATCCCTTTGAGAGGTAATATTATAAGTTTGATGTAATTTTCTGTTTTATTTGAATGTTCTTGGCTAACATGACATTATGTAGGACAATTGACAAATGCAAACAATTTGTTAAGCAGAGGAATAAGAATGAAGGATATATATGCGAAGCTTATCTTGCAAAGGAAACTGCTCATTTTTGTTCATCCAGGCCGATGTTCTAAGGATGTTAGAAAGAGAAGTTTGAGTGATAGGAAGTACAAGTCAGCTACACTTCATGTGTTGCTAAATTGTCCTGAAGTTGTACCATTTCTCAAGTATTGATTTATTAGTTATCAAAATATAAAATTTACTGTGATTACATCTCGATGCAACTACTAAAAATATTTGATGTGTCACAGTCACTTCGTGGGTCAATTTGTCCATGATGTTGTATATACGAGATTTGATACGTGGGTCAAACAATTTGTAAGTTTATCCTGATAATGTTCTAACACTATGTAGGTAAATAATGTTTGTAAGTTATGCTAACTTATGAATTTTTTTAACACTATGTAGGTAAATGATCCAAATAATGATGTAAATCAATTTTTGATAGATATATCTTGGGGACCTGGGTTTCAGGTCATAACAATGTCTAAGTACGTAGTGAATGGTCATAAGTTCCATACAGAGGGTTGCTCTAAAAATAAAAATAGCAACAACTGCAGGGTGTGGGTTCAAGGTGGTGATGGCAACCAAGTTGGAGATGTTGATTATTATGGTGTGCTCAAAGAAATAATAGAACTAGAATATACAGGTTGGCCATATAAGAAATTGATACTCTTTAGATGCAAGTGGTTTGACTCAAATCCAATAAGAGGTACAAGAGTACACAACCAATACAACATAATTGAGGTTAATCATACGAGGGAGTATGATCGCTATGATCCTTTCATAATTACACATAATGCTAGGCAAGTGTATTATGCTCCTTATCCATTGCGGCGGAATAAGTCCGATTGGTGGGTTGTAATAAAAACTAAGCTTGTAGGTAGGGTGGAAGTCGAGAATATATTAGATGTTGCATATCAAAACAATATCTCCAGTGTTCACCATATAGTGAACGATCAGCTAGAAAATGATTTGGAACATCCTGAACGCATATTGGAAGAAGTTGATATAAATTAAGTAACAATTATAGAAAATGAGGACGAAGAATCAACTGATGAAGCTCAAACAAGTGAGGACGAAGAATTCTCGGACGAGGAACAATACGTCGATGAGCTTTAAAAAGTTGGTTTTTTGAATAACCCTCGTTTTGTAGCTAGTTTCTTATATGTTTCAATCTAAATATGTATTATATTATACAGATGGCAGGAAAGGGTCAAGGTAACAATGACCCTACTGGTTCTCGGGGTCGAGAAAAGGCTAGGAAGGGAAAGAGGAGGGTAGAAAATAATACTCCATATTTTCCACCCTCTTCAGAGATGCCTATGCCTATGCCTATGTCTTATCCTCCACCCCACGTCTATACTGAGCTACCACAACATCACGAGTCCTACACCTTCATGCATACACCAGGTCTTTCATCACAGGGCCTTAGGACTATACGTCCGACATACAGTCTAGTTGCCTCACAACCACGTGGATCACAGCCATCTGCATCGTATGGATCGCATCCATCCATGTCACAACAACATGGATCACAGCCACTCGGGTCACAGCCATCAGTATCACAGTCACTTGGGGTCCATCCAGCTATGTCGCAGTTACAGGGATCACAGCCATCTTCATCAGCGACTCTATCTATTTCAGGCCTTCACCTGCGAGGTAGTAGCTCTGACCCCCTACACCATCCACACATGCCTTTGATATACATGCTTCAGATGATGATGTTGATGATGACGAGGAGGTTCATTATGATCAATACGGTAGGATTATCATAGTCCCTAAGGGTGATGGGTAAGAGTTATTTGTTATTTTTGTGTTTATTGTTTTGTAAAGTTTTTACTAAGATATTAATATGTTTTTATTGTTAAATTGTAGGTTCATCCCAAGTAATAAGACTACGAGGATAATCACCAAAGCCATCAGAAAGCATTATGATGGCCCTTATGCGACTTGGACTGATTTCCCATTCTCGCTGAAGGAGCAAATTTTCAATTAATTTAAGGTATAAATGTTCTTTAAGCAGTTTAATAATTTATATTTATGATATTTCCATATAATATTTAACTTTTGAAATACAGAGTAAGTGTGTATGGGAACACCGCTATAGTGCGAAAGTGGTTGCAAATTATCATCACAAAGCTCGCAAGCGATTGTCGCATACTTTCTCCGAAGCTAGAAAGAAGAACAAGAAGCCTGACTGGTTACTTCAAAATTTATGGGATAATTTGCAAAGGCAATGGCTTATCGCAAAGTTCTTAGAGAAGGCGAAAAAGGAAAGAAAGCTCGTGCATCTGAGAAGGTAGTCTCCTTGCACACTGGAGATGCGATCAGCCTAGGGACAATAAAAAGAAGATTGGTACGTAATTGCTTAAATTATTTTAATTTTCAAAGTATATCTATTCTATTTATTAACTAAATTAATTTATTTTCAGGAAAAGAAGTTGGGGCGTCTAATGAACCATGATGAGCTATTCAAGGGGACATATATTGTAAAGAAGAAGAAAGAGACAGATCACGAAATGTGGGTCGAGTACCAGGCCTCGACTGTATATGTAAGCTTTCACTTTTCTTTAAGTATTTTAATTTACTATTATATAAATTTTGAAATACTAATTCAATGTAAATTTTCATATAGGGTCACTACCAAACTAACGTGGAGGAATTCATCCGCACTCAGCCACCTAATGAGTCGGGGTGAGCCAACCCAACCTTCGGACGAGGATGCTGAAAGAATATGGATAGAGTCTGTTGGCGGTCCAAAATGGAAGAAGGTATACGGGCTTCCTAATAAGAAATTTCATCGCTATAAGTGTGGAATGCAAGGAATAGATACTTTCTTGCAAGGCAAGAAACTTAATAGGGAGAACCTCTCTGCTATGTGGGAGATTGTGACAAAGCTCACATCCGAGCTAGAAGTGGCCAAGGAAAGAGAAAGGGTTGGAGATGCTCAATTCCTTGGCATGCAAGCTCAGATCAAAACTCTCCAATCTACTGGAGCTTTTACGTTGCCCCGGTCTCGTGAGTCATCTCTAGAGGCTCGACTTGCACGTGATCGTTCCTCCCATCCTCCCCGTGATCGTTCCTCTCATCCTCCCCGTGGTCGTTCTTCCCGTCCTCCACAAGACCCTTCTCGACACCGTCTTTTAGATGAAAGTTCATCAGACGGTGATGATGATGTTGTGAAAAATACTCTTTGACTTTTATATACTTTGAACTAGACAAATAGAACCGGTTTTGAACTAGTTGTAATAACTTTTAACTTGGTTTAAATTTTTTAGTTCTATTGAACTTTAATTTGTTAGTTTTAATGTATTTATTGAATTGTGTTGTTGTTGTTGTTATTGTTGTTGTTGTTGTTGTTGTTGGTGTGCTGTTGTTATGGTGTTGGTGGTGTTGTTATTTAGGAATTTTGGTATGCTGGCAGGTGGCGTAACTGCCAAAATAGGCATTTTATGCCAAAACTAAAACCCAGAAAACCGATCAAAGTTGGTCAGTTTCTAATTAAAAAAATAATTTTCAACTGATTAGCGACCAAGGTTGGCCGCTTAAGTTTAAAAAAAATAAAAATTAAAAATTACCGACCAAAGTTGGTCGGTTAATGAACAAGGATTACCCATATTTCAACTTTACCGACCAACTTTTGTCGGTATGGTTAAATTTTAATTTTTTTAAAAAAAATATATTTTATTTTACCGACCAACTTTGGTCGCTAATTTTTAAATTTTAATAATTAATAAAATAACGTAATTTAAATGCACCAAATAACTTTGGTCGCTAAAATTAAATTATTAAAATATGTTACCGACCAAAGTTGGTCGGTATGTGCTTTAAATTGTACAGTTGGTCCTTTTACCTTTGCGACCAACCTTGATCGGTAATTAGCGACCAACCTTGGTCGGTATACTAAAACGACCACCAAAGTAGAGACCAAGCGTGTTTGGATGCGTTTTGGTCGGTAATTTTCCAAAACTGACCAACGTTGGTCGGTTTTTGTGGTCGCTAATTACCGAATTTCTAGTAGTGATCCCTGACTCTTTTCTCAATCATCTTTACACACTCATCTTACAATACCACATCCTCTACCTTAGTTGTCCTATCTGTATTATTACAACTCACATAAGGACTCTGCTATATCCCCTTCACTTCTACCACAGTAATAATGCACAATTCATCATAATACTTAGGGAGCTTAAGTGCCTTGTACACATTAAAAGTGATTTCCTCATCGCCAACTCTCATCTTAAATTTCCATTCCCTTACATCAATAATTGTTCCACCAGTAGCTAAGAATGGTCCCCCAATAATAATGGGCATTTCCTCATCTACCTCATAATCAAGAACAACAAAATCAGCAAGAAGAATAAACTTTCTCACCTCGAACTAACACATCCTCAATAATTCCTTTTGGCATAACAAGTGACATATTTGCTAACTGTAAAGTGATTGTATTGGGTCTAAGCACACCCCAATCGAAGTTTCTTGAACAAAGATGATGGCATAAAATTTATACTAGCCCCTAAATTACACAAGGCTCTACCAACTTCTTGTTTTCCAAGAGATAGAGGAATTGTGAAACTCCTAGGATCCTTCAACTTAGGAGGAAGTTTACTCTGAACTCTAGCACTGCACTCTTCATTAAGTGCAATTGTTTCAAACTCTGTATTTCTTATCTTGTCTACCATAATATTTCTGAGATAACTTGCATACTTAGGCACTTCCAGCAAAATTTCCACCAGAGAGAAATTCGCACGCACTTGGCTCAAAATATCTAAGAATTTCTTGTACTTAGCATCATCTTTTTTCTTCTACAGTCTTTGTAGAAATGGAGGTGGTGGCCTTGTCACAATTATTAGCTCTTATCCTTTGATTTCTTTCCCATTCTCCTCAACTGGCTTGGGAACCAATTCTACTTCAGGACTAGCCGTATACTTCTTTTTCTTTGGAACTTCTTCTAATACTCTTCCATTTCTCAAGGTAACCGCATTGACTTGAGCTTTAGGATTAGGCTTAGTATCACTAGGAAGAGCTCCAACTGGTCAAGTATTTTAGGCACTGTTAAGTTGTCCTATTTGTCGCTCCAAATTTCTCATCGTTGTTGCTTGGGCCTGCTGGTAAACCATTAATTTCTTCATCATCTCCTCAAGGTGACTCGTCGAGTTTGCATATTGTTTAGCCTGAGGTGGTCTATATTGTTGTTGAGGTGCTTGTGGCTTGTACTAATTTTGAGCACCTTGATTTCCACACCAAGAGAAGTTTGGGTGGTTCCTCCAATTAGGATTGTAAGTGTTCCCATATTGGTTTGTCTGGCCCCTATTTGTATTACCCACAAAATATACAGACTCTGGATTTGCTGGCATAGATTGCTCATATGACACTCTCCACATACTTCACAAAACAATTAAACTTGATGCACTTGATGTGCTTGTTTCTTGTTAATAACCAAGGTCATTTGATTGACTTGGTTGGTCAATGCGGAAATCTGCGCTGATAATGCATAGACGACATCTAACTCCAGAACCCCTGCACATTTTTGCACTGTGTGTCTGCCCATCTCTCCTTGCCAATCAGGATTGGTTTTGGAGAATTTGTTCAATAATGTATATATCTCATCGAATCTTTACTCCAACACTTGACCTCCAACTGCAGCATCTACCACAATGTTTGTCTCAGGATGTAGCCCTTCTATAAAAGTATGAGCTAACACTTCATTTGTCTGATTGTGATGAGGACAGTCTCTGAGCAGCCCCTTGAACCTCTCCTAAGCTGAGTATAAAGAATCCCCCACTTTCTATTTGAAGGCGGCTATCTCACGTCTGATCTTTGCAGTTTTGCCTGAAGGGAAGAACCTTGCCAAATATTTCCTTGCCAGATCATTCCATGATGTAATAGAATTAGTTGGTTCTGCCTTTATCCATTGCTTTGCTTCCCCCAACAAAGAGAATGGGAACAGTGTGAGCCTCACATAGTCTGGAGTGACTCCGTTAGTGATATAAGTATCACTAATCTCCAAGAAGTTTTGATGTGCTATTGTGGATCCTCCTGTGGAGTACCCATAAACTGCCCATTTGCATGTAGTAGCTGGATCATGCTCTGTTTCAGCTTAAAATGCCCAGTGATTTTGGACTTCACAATGTTGGAGGTGACATTAGCAATGCTAGGCATCGCCACCTCCTGAACAGCCATATGTTGCTCCTCTGCCATGTTCACAGGAAATTGAACAAGTGCCTGAAGATTATTTGTGTCCCTTGCTTCCCTTAACCTCCTGTGAAATGTTCTCTCAGGTTCGGGGTCAAAGCCTTGAAGTCTATCTTGGCTTCTGACCCTTCGCATTCAATCAAAGTTCGTGAAATTAGAGCAACAATCGAGTAAGGTTAGACTTGATGAAATAAACAATTATAGCTAAAACTAGAAAGTAGTCAATATTCAAGTCTCCGACAACGGCTCCAAAAACTTGTTGCTCCCAAACGCACACGCAAGTATACGTGGTCGTACAAGAAATAAAATGATAAGTCGAGTGTCGAACCCATAGAGACTTGTATTAACTTCTTACTAAATTCACCAAGATTGTTATTCAGTCAAGCCAATCCGAGTTCAAAAGTATGATTATACTAAACAATAATTCTAATTGGTAACTAAATTATCAAATAGCAAAATGGTTATTGTGTATTCAGTAGAGATGAATATTCCAGGGTTGTGATCGATTTACCAATACTATTGTGTTCTAGTTAACTCTCCCTTTCATACAATTCACTCATGGTTTCTAATTAATCATATAATTGTTCTCGTAGCCTTCTCCCGAAGTACTACTCTCCTATTCAAAATAGATTAACCTCTATATTCCTATGAAATCAATCTATTAAGAATGCATTAAGATTACGATATTTAATTAAGCACGGTGACTAGGTATATTTCTATCCTAATCATAAATCCCCCCTCCCTAGTTAAGATCGTGTGCTCTTCAGTTCTTCTCTAATCTAAATATGGCTTTCCCTAGCATAGCATAGATAGTAAATAGAACTTAACTATTGGCCAGACAATTAAGCAATTAATCACAGAATTGAATAAACAACCATATATGGGTAAATTGTAATTAAGGTTAAACCAACGTTGAACAACAATATTCATGGCTAAATCACAACCCCAGAACTACGGGTTTTAGCCACTTCTGATATTATCAAACAAATTTATAAGTGTTGGATAATTGAAAATACTAAGAAAATATGAAGAAAATTGAGATATCCTCGCTCCCAAATGTTCTCATGTGTATTCTCTCTTCAAAGTGGTGTCTCCCTCTCAAAATAGGCTTAGTCTTGCTTTTATACATATTGGATAGGTCTAGGGCCGAAATAACCTTGTCCCGAAAAAAGTTGGAGAAATTCCTGTCACCAGTGTCCAGGGAAGCATGTGGCGCTGGCCCTGGTGCTGGCAAATTGTACATTCTATAAACGGTGCCACAGGTGGCGTGGGGCGCTACCTGTGGCGCTGGAATTCAACATTTTCCATTTTTTCTCCATTTTGGTTCTAATCTCGCACCTTTCGCCCCCTATTGCCTCTGGATGGTTTCTACATATTAAAGCACCATGAATGAATATAAATCAATATATTTTACATCCGAAATCCACGAAACACGAGTAAACATGAGGTGATATACATATAAATATATATACTTTAAGCTAAATATCAATATATGGTTGAAATATTCCATTTTTATTTTTTCCTTGCGTATCTTTATCGTAGTATTGCTACTGTTTGTCTAACTTTGTGGTAACTACAAAAATAATATATAATTTATTTTCAATTTGAGCTCATTGAGAACAGGTTTTTTGGTACTTTCCACAATTTTGGTGATGAACTTTGAGTTGTGCGGTATTGATCTTTTTCAAAAACAACTTAGAAAATCCAGTGTTGCCCTATCTTTTTATCTCTATTTCTGAAAGAAGCTTCAGGCGAGGTGTTAGATCCACCGAACCCTCAACCCTGCCATTGCAAACAAAAATTTAAAAGGTTCTGTTGAATCTATGCTCTTTTTCCTTTTTCTTTATTATATAAGGATAAGGTAATTTGTAAGGTTGGATCCTTATTGAATTTGCTATCTTTGTTATGTGAAGAATAATTTATGTGGCATTGAATTTTGGCTATAATCACTCATTAGCATTCCATTCTTTGTTAGTATTTTGATGCATGCTGAAAGGGTCTTTTATTGTATATTTGTATACGGTAAAAATCAGTGGTCCAATTTTAATCATTAAGGCGCCTCGTAGAGACTGCCCCCAGAAGGCTCGAAGCTCAGCTCGGGGTTTCGACCTCTAATGGTTCTCAATGATCGACCTCGAGGCAGTGTAAACAATGATCGGCCTCTAGGCAGTGTAAACCAGCGGCTACGGTGAATCGATGTGAGGTTCCCAAGGCACGTGACTAGAGCTGACAAAGTCTATTAGGCTAGTTCAAACCCGTATCATGGCATTAAATGGTTGTACCAGTCCCATATCTTTGTAATAAATGCACTTGTACTATGTTTGGATTCCCCCTCATATATAAAGGGGATCCTTGTCATTTTGTAAGAGGATATTACAAACTACATCCAATACAAGAACATTCTCTGCTCTCTAACTCAAACATACTCTCTGTTTGATCCTATTACTTACATTTATTGTCTTGCTCATATTTGCTACATTTCATTAATTGTTCTTCATTTATTGCTCATTATTAGTCATAAAGAGCCACCATCAAATTTATCATAACTGTTAATCCTCCATCGACTGCCCTTAGCCGGGTATCCGACTCGACCTTGAGGCCCCGATTTCCATCCATTCGGTTTGATTATTACACTATCTACAAGCTATTATCCTATTTTCTAATCTTTCACTTAGCATTTATTGCCTAACAACTAGCATAAAAATAGATCACATATTTTTAGAACCACAAAATCAAATCTAATTGTTATTACATTTTCAAGGTAAACAGTTTGGCGCCTACCGTGGGGCTAAAAATAATAGTTATTATTTTCTTGTTGGTTTACTACATAATGCAAGTTAACTTTAACGCTTTTTCTTGTCCAAGAATCTTCATTTTAGGTCGAAATGTCTAACTCAGTGAGTGCATATGAAAATAACGGTCTTGAGGACCATAGAGAGAATGGTGTGGCTGTTCCAGGTATTGGCGCACCACCACTAAACCCTGAGGACGCGCCAAAGCCAATCCCCATGGATGTGGTCTCGCGCGATGCCCAACACGTCGATATAAGCTCCCACACTAACAGGAGAATACGACAAGGAGACCAATAAGAAGCCTAGAAAACCCCAGCATGGGAAGAACAAGAGGTTAGCCTTCACGTTATTTTTGAAATGTTACAGGCACAACAGCAGGCAATTGCTCAACTGCAAAGCCACCAAAAAACTCTAAGCACAGCAGCACCGGAAACAGCTCCTCGATCCGAACAGGTACTGGAAAGATCGAGTAACAATGGGGTTAGCAGTCAACCATGCTATTATGAAGATGCTCGAGGACCTCACAAAGAGGATCCAATCGGGCGAAAAAATGATAGAAGCCAACGATAAAAAGGTGGAGACCTACAACTCGAGGGTCGATCAGATCCCGGGTGTACCCTCGATCCTAAAGGGTGTTGATTCGAAGAAATTCGTGAAAAAGCCATTCCTGTCAGATGCTGCTCCAAAGCCCATCC